TCCAGTGGAGTTTGACTTTGGTAATTGATAGTAGTTTTTTAATTTCAATAATATATCTGTTGTAGATATCAAATTTTTAAATTGACTTGAGGACAGCTAGACTGTCAGTAAAAATATTGGCTGATTGTTTATATGCCTTAAGCCACGTCAAAGCTGATTTCAAAACTTGTGTTTTGGCTTGGTAAACCAAACAGTTTTTGTCAAGTTGAAACATAAATTGTTCTTTAAATTCGCCATTCCAATATGTGCAGAATCCGATACCTGTGTCGTCGTTATTCTTAGAACCATCAGTATAAATCTCCAAGCCTTGAGATGTTGGTGGCTTGTCATCCCAGTGAAATACTCTTATTTGTACCGGGTGAGTGTGCCACTAATGAACTTGAAAATCGATTTCGTCCTGTGGTATATGAATATCATCGAATTTAAAGTCTGTCCAGTCTCTTTTTATACGTTGAATGGCACATTCAAGCTCTAGTTTAATGTCTAGAGGTTGTAATCCCGCTATGATTTGGAGGGACGAGATCGGAGTTGTTTTATAGCTTTTAGTCATAGCCAGAAGAGCCATGCGTTGAATGGTATTTGCTTTATTTCACATCTTAACCGTTGGGAATGCTACCAAGCAGGGCAGGTTTAAACTGCTTGCCTTTCGATTGCTCTCTTATATAATTCTTTTAGAACTGGTTTAGGAAGACCAGGCATTTGTAGAAGATTATTTACTATTTTGCCGACCTTAGACTTTATATAGTCTAAAAGAGGGAGCCATGTAAGATATTCATCAATAATAACATCCAGATATTTTATTTGGTTTTGATTTCTGATCGTTTTATTATCCAGTTTTATCGTGGGAGCTGAATAGGCTGCTCCACGTTTCTTAATTGTAACAAACATGGAGCTTGATTTTTCAGAAGAAAATTGTAATTTACACTTTCGTGCCCGGTCTGAAAGTTTCTGTAATGCTGTTTTTGCTCTAGATTGTACTTGCATATGAGCTGAACCAGTTACTAATAGTAACACGTCATCAGCGTATGCTTGAACTTGTATTCGTTCTCCATAATCAGTTTGAAAAACTGTGTTCATGACGATATTCCAAAACAGTGGGCCACAGTTTGAGCCTTGTACACAATCTTTTTCCTGAACTTGAGAATATTGTACTCCATTGGGTTCGTAGATAATGTGTCTATTATTCAACAGATTCTGGATAACTTAATAAATATTAATAGGACACTTTAAATTCCACAGTTCTTGAAGTAAGAACAGCCACCAGACGTTATTGAATGTGCTTTTAATGTCTAAAGAGATAATATTAGTATAACAATTATTTCTTCTATTGTCTTCTATTTTGGTGATAATATATTTTATCGCATCTGAAGAACAGATGCCTGCTGTGAATCCATGCTGCTTATTACTAAGTTTTCCATTTGTGAATAGCAAGAAACATAGTTTGTTCATTATGAGTTTATCATCATAAACCTTCCTCCAAGCATTGAGGAGACAGATTGGCATATAGGCCTCAGGAAGTTCACCATTCGTTCCTTCTTTTGAGAATAACACAAGTTTGGCTGTTTTTCAGCTATTGGGGAACAGGCCTCGCTTGAATAATTCATTAAAGAGCATTGTATGAAAGGATGGATTGATGTAGAAAATTTCCAGAATTATTTCTCATGGTAAGTTGTCAATACGTGATGCTTTTCCAGGGTTAAGAGATCGTATCGTAAATTTCCCTTCTTGTTTTGTGAATGGAATATCCTTTTGTGCTCCATAGGGACGAGATAGGTTATTCCGAATTTGGAAGAACAAGATATTATTATTCTTGGTGATTTAAATGCAAAAAGCGAGTTCTAGGGCTCCCCTTTGAAGATCCACATGGCCATACAGTCAGAGAATTCCCGATTTCACATACATTAGTAGTCAAAATTTATCCAGACAGCCTGCCTACATTTAATTTTACAAGGGGTAAAAGCTGGATCAATATAACAGCCTCTCGCTCTATCAGTCGGGAGGCTATTATAAGTAGCTGGATGGTCTTGGATAGCATAACTCTGAGTAATCTACTTTGAAATATCATATAATAATTTGACCAATAATACCCATGGTAAATATAAATTGGAAAAAATGAACTGGGTTTTACTAAAGGAAAATCTTGGAAAATATTTTGGAGTTCTTAAGTCGCAACTTATAAAGGACACAGTAGATTTAAATGGTCTCATCATTAAATGGACTGGAAAAATTCAAGATCCAGATCATCTTGTCGATTGCCTCGAGGAAAGTGATGGTCAAGGAGCAGTTGGATCATTTCATCTAATGTTTGAGTCTTAGTATTGTCTGGCTGTATAAGCATTTTAAGTTGCAAAGGGGGATTGTGTATTCCCTTTGGCTAAATCATAATGAATACCGAAGGGAGATTTAGGGCATAATTTATCCAGATGCTTTTCCATAAGTTGCATTTAGTTCTTAAAAGTTCTCACTTATACCTGGCCAGATCTCTTTTATAAAACTCTCATAAATCTTCAGCTTGGGTACATTTCTGATATCTCTTTCTTTCTGCATTATTTCTTTTACGCATAATACATAGTTCTTTTTTCCACCAAGGGACTCCTTTGTGTTGGGTCTTTAAAATTTGTAGCCTAGCAGCCCTAGTCTTAATGGTTAGGTAATAATATTCTTGAATTTTTCCAGTCCATTTAATGATGAGACCATTTAGATCTACTGTGTCCTTTATAAGTTGCAACTTAAGAACTCCAAAATATTTTCCAAGATTTTCCTTTAGTAAAACCCAGTCCATTTTTTCCAATTTATATTTACCATGGGTATTATTGGTCAAATTATTATATGATATTTCAAAGTAGATATAGCAAAGTAGATTACTCAAAGTTATGCTATCCAAGACCATCCAGCTACTTATAATAGCCTCCCGACTGATAGAGCGAGAGGCTGTTATATTGATCCAGCTTTTACCCCTTGTAAAATTAAATGTAGGCAGGCTGTCTGGATAAATTTTGACTACTAATGTATGTGAAATCGGGAATTCTCTGACTGTATGGCCATGTGGATCTTCAAAGGGGGAGCCCCAGAACTCGCTTTTTGCATTTAAATCACCAAGAATAATAATATCTTGTTCTTGGGGTAGATTTTTCTCCACGATATCAAGGAGGTTTAATAAGTCTGTAAGATTAGTAATAGGTTGACTATAACAGTTAAATAGTGATAATGTTTTTTGTTGAATCTTTATAGTTATTATAATAAGATTTGGCAATGAAACGGCATTTAGAACTGTTATACGTGGATTTACAATCACTGTGGCCGTTTTAGGAAGTTGGACAGTCGAGTAAATGACTTAAGTTTGAAGCGGAAAGCCTACTGGCTTTCCGTCTATGCAATACGGCTCTTGGACACAGATGATGTCATAGTCAAATATACAGGTTTTTAATTGTTTGTAATTGCATTCACTGTCATTCCAGTTAAATATGAGTGTAAGTAATTAAATTTATTCATGTTAAGTGAATCTTCATTTCAGTGTATCAAAGATTAAAACTGGTCCCAGAGACTTTACCAATCAGCAGGATCACCATCAAATCTTCTTGTTAACGAGGTTAATTTAACAAACTGTTTTTTTCTAATTTTAACATACTAAAATATTATTGTGTTCTTTGTGCATCTGGTTTGCATTTAGTAAAGAGCAGCTTTCAACTTACGTGTGCAGTTAAACTTTTCAATGATATCCATCACACTTAATTTCTGTTTCTATTTCTTTAACATTTGTAATTTGACTTCTATAATATATCTGGAATTTCAGAAACTATTTCTTTAAACTATTAAAATTTCAAATTTTTCTGTCCTGAAATTTCTTCCAACTCTTCTTGATCTGTTTGATTTTCTAAGATATTAGTTTCGATTTTAGAAATTAATCTTGTTGTAAGAAATCTAAGAGTAGTTCATTTAACTCTTGCTGTTTCCATTTCGAAAACGGTTTCTAACACTTTATTTTGTAACTTGGTATCTTCATTCAGCTAAGTTTCTATTCCAATTTTAAGTACATCATGAAGAGGTGTTAGAAATAATTCGCCACACAGTATCCATTTCTTAATAATGAGGAATAGCGAAGCTTTTCTTGTTGTAAGATCTAAACACTGAAATCGAAATAGAAGAACCTAATTGTTTACATAACCTTGAGTAACAGTCACACAAATTTTTCTTTATTTAAGGTATATATGATCAAAATCAGCCAATTTAAGAAAACATACACACGCAATAAATTAAAAAAAAAAAAAATACAAAAAACCGCCCAGAGGGCATTGGTTCTATCATCAAAGCTGCATAAACTAAACTAATATTCTTGGTATATGGAACAGCCTTCTAACTGTGTCACAAATGAATCGCTTTGGAGTTCTCAACATCATATGCATATGGACTGGAGTTTAGAAGTATGAAATCTCACATAGTGGGTATTAATTCATAAACAAATTCTTTGCAATTTATGATGTAAACTAACATTTTATTTAATACTTAATCAGCATCCATTACTTGTTCTGTTTAATGTCCACTTAAAAATATTTGTGAATCAAAATCTAAATCTTTCTTTTAGCATGATTAGTAAACAAGTCCATTTTTTATGTTAAATACATGCAATCTCAGGATGTAGAGAAGTAAGCAAAGTATGTTTTTTTTAATGGTCTCGGTTAGTTTTCTTGATTCTCAATATTGATTATAACACTTGGATTTTAACGCGTTGACTAAAAAAAATATTAAATCTTAATTTTAAAAATAGTAAACAAGCTAACACTATTTCAGTCTTCTATAATATATCTGGAAAAGGGAGAAATAAGTATTATTTTCCATGAATTTAATTTTAATGGCTGTCCTCAAACACTGTACGTTTGATGACATTAAATCCGAGATTTGATATAAATTGTGCATATTTTATTGAAAGATTAATTTTTTACTGATTTTCTTGTGATTAATTTATTTCGAATTAATTTTATTTTTATTTATTTTTGTGCCAGCTGAGAAAGAGAGTTTAGTGTCGGAGAAGAATAATTTAATGAAAAAAGTAGAAGAATTAAACAGTCTAGTATCAACTTTGATGTCCTCACGTAAGAATGCTTTCCTTGTCATTTAAACATATTCATTGCATAAAATATAATAAAGGTGATTAAGTAAATTGATTTCATTTACTTTGTTTAAGTGATTAGATTAGATGTGGATTTTATGTAATTTGTTTGACTAAGATCACTTCATATGTCTTGGATTTAATTTTCTTTTGTTTGTTGCCTGTGTGTTAGGTTTGGTGGACGTAAATTTTGTCTACAAGTTGTATTAATCATTATTTATTTATATATTTACTTACTTTTTTTTTTTTTTTTTTTTTTTTTTTTGTCATTGCAAGGGATTACCCCTGCCTGGTCTTATTATGGCTAAACATGTTTTGGCTGCGTGGATTTGGGCTGGGATTATTATTGTACTTATAAAACTTTATTTCGTTGTTTATTATACAGTCAAAAGTCGTTAATTTGGACACCCATAATCTGGAATGATCTATAATCCGGACCTCAAAGCTAAAAACTTTCTGCGCATGCGCCGCGTTGACACATGCGCATAAGTGTTTACGCGTGCGCGTAGGACCTTTACGACTGCGCATATGCGTGTGCGCAAGTGCAGAATACGTTTTCACGTGCACGTTTTATGTGTAACGGACGGTATAAGCTAAAATTATCTAATTTTCTATTTCAGTTAATGTTGATGATTGCGTTGTTCCTTAATCTTCGAGTTGGATCCCGCTTATTATTTTTTGCAGATTGTAAGTGCAATTTTATAAAAGTAAACTTGAACTTTCGATTATGTCAAATAGAATTTCCGATGCTGGAGCTCCCAAAGGATACACAAAACGAAAGTATGTTTCGATGTCCATCAAACAAAAAGTGGAATTGCTGCAAAAAATGGATAAAGACATGAAGAAGGCATAGACTCCAACTACTACGGATTCTCCGTAGTTTCTACGGAAATTCATGAAAAACTACGAGCTACAAAAAGTATGGAAAAAACTACGGATTTTACAGAAACAAGAGCAGGAGAACCAGCTAATTCATCCGATGATTGGCTGAATACTCGTGTTATCATATATCACGTGTTGAGTGCGTTCCTAGTTTTGAAGAATTAGCCAATCGTAGATCAGTAACTCCAACCGTTAACGACTTATCAATAGTTCCACCCAATTGTCTGTCTCCCAGGTTCCTCGCTGATGCGTGTTTAGGCTGCATTCGGCTGCATTGTGTAGTTTACGGCGAGAGCTTAGCGTGTGTCTTGTGAACTGTGAATCAGGTGAAAGATTTTTTAATCATAATGCTGCCTCGAACGAAGAAGCCAAAATTATCAAAGCAGAAGTTTAAAGATTCATATTCTTCAGAATTTCCATGCATTAAAGCGTCCGAAAATTCTGTGAATCACGCACACTGCAGTGTATGCAACAAAGACTTCTCAGTTGCTCATGGCGGAAAAGATGACTGTAAACGGCATGTGTTTTTCTCAAAAGCATATAGAACTTGGCACCGTAAAATCTAAAGAATAACAAATTTCTTAATAAAAGATGATGAAACAGATCCTATAAAAGCCGAATGCTATTTTGTTCGTTTTTTTTAACTGAACATAATCTACCGCTTTCTGTTCGGATCATTCCAAAGAGCTTTTCAAAGCAATGTTTCCGGATTCTGCCATAGCAAAAAAATTTAGCTGCGGTCATACCAAAACTGCTGCTATTGTGAAAACGCTTGCAGAAAATACTGTTGCTGATATTATAAAATCAGTGTGCAGTACATCATTTTCTCTAAGTACTGATGGAAGTAATGATAACAATGATAACAAACTGTACCCATTGGTTATAACATACTACAGTAAAGAAAAGGGAGTGATAATTACTTCATTGATTTCTATTTTAGAATGCACGAATAATACAGGAGAAGGTATTTTTTAATTGTATAAATGAAAACTTTAAAAACAAAGGTTTTAAAATGGAAAAATTTGCTTATCATTTTCTTCAGATAATGCTAGTAATATGATTGGGAAAGTTTAAAGGTGTAGCATCATTTATCAAAATGCATCAACCAAGTATAATCACCCGAGGTTGTCCGTGCCACCTCTTGCATATAGCTGCAAAAAAAGCTACTGAAAAATTAATTGGCTCAGAAATTGAAATGTTGATAATAGATATATATTTTTACTTGGAGAAAAGTTCGAAACGGAAGCATAGCTTCAAAGTTGCTCAACAAATTTTGGGACAGAATGCAAAATCTCATAAAATTTTGAAATATTGCAGTACGAGATGGTTGTCTCTTTTAGAATCTATAACAAGGATTTTGGAACAGTGGGATGCTGTGTGATAAATTTTTTTGGAGATAAACCAGATAACAGTGAGAATGAAGGAAAGAGATTGCAAAACATTAAAAAAATTTTACAGTCACCGACCACCAAATTGTACTTGTTATTTTTGAAAAATACTTTGCCTTTGTTTATAACAGTAAAATATTAATTTGCAACAACAAGCTCCTTATATACATAAATTGAGAAGAGAACTTTTTGAACTTTTAATGAATTTATTTGTTAGATTCGTAAAACCATCAGTAATTTCTAAAGAAAATGAAGATGTTACTCTAACGTCTATTCCATTTCAGAAGTATAGTAAACAAAAAGAAAATGAAAATTTAGTGATTGGTGCGGAAACAAGACTATATTTAAAAAATGCCAAGTTGAATGAAAGTGAAGTGAAATCATTTTTCAATTCTGTGCGAGCTTTTTTTTGTAACTGCATGTTCATATATAATTGATAATTTCCACTGAGTGATCCATTTCTAAAACATGCTGAAGTTGCTGACATCAACTTGAGAACTGAAGTCTCATTTTCACTGTGTTCTTTACTTGATGAATACTTTTCCATCCATTATTGATAAAAAAATGTCTTAATCAAGTAGAAAATTGAATTTTCCATGTATCAAGTAGATGATTTTGAAAGAAATTGTAAGATTTGCGTATTGATATAGCATGGGGGAGAAATTGCCAAATTAAAAAATAGAATGGGTGTATTAAATACAAAGTATTGCCTTCTGTAATGCTTGCTGTCTTAATAATACCTCATTCAAAATGCAGCTTGCGAAAGAATTTTTTCTATTGTTAAAAAAAATCAGACGGAATTTCGACCAAATTTAGGTCTTAAAAACTCTTGAAGCAGTTTTGATTGAAAAAAATAAATATGCAGGCAAATGAAGAACTGTGTTATAAAAAAACATTCTCAAATCAGAACTTAAGCTTGCTAAGCATGCTACATATAAATCTTTGCATTCATAAATTATGCGTATTTTGTTTAATACTTTATATGTATCATTCTTGGTTATTTAAATTTTATTTCCCTGTAGAAATCATATCCAGAATAAAGATATGATTTATAGCTTCTGATTTTTTCTATGATTAGTAGCGATTTGAAGTACTTTTTATTAGTGAATGCTTGAGGAGTTAAAAGAAAATTTCTAATTAAATGTGCATATAATTTACAAGGTATATTTTTAATTATTCAGTTTTATATGTATATGGATTTTAAATGTAATAAAATTGATTACAATTAATTATTAATTTAAAATTAATGAATGGTTAGTTACAACATACGCTACGCGCACATTTTCAAAGTTGTAAAAATGTCGTTCGCGCGTTGACTACTGACAAGGTTTGCTGAAGGTTGGAGTCTATGAGAAGGTGACAGAGAGGTTAGTGAAAACGAAAAAATTTCGATTGACAAGTTAATCGGTATTCTCGGCACAGCAATTACGGAACTTGAACAGCGGAACTTTGTAACTGAACAAGAAATTATGTCTGTTTATAGAATTAAAGAGAAAGTATTATCACATAAAACAAAGCAACTTAAACAACTTACATTGAAAGAAATGTTTAATAAAAGTAAACAAATAAATATTAAGCTCTTTTTTTTTTTTTTTTTTTTTTTTTTTTTGTAAATTTTGATACCCTTTAGATCATAATTGTTCTTTATTTCATAAATTACGGTTTAATATTTTTAATTTTAAAATTTCTGCATGCCATCTTACGAGATTTAAACTGATGATCTATAATCCGGAATCGCCGAAGTCCCGACGAGTCCGGATTAACGACTTTTGACTGTATTATAATGTACAATTTATTTGTTATTATATTATATAAATTTATTGTATTTAATGTAGCGAATGATTTTTTAAACTGTAGACACATGGTTTTTAAGACATCATATTTATTAAAAGTTTTTTTTTCCTATTTTTTAAAGCTTTATTTCTTTGAATTATTTTAAAATTGGGAATTTTTTTTTTTTTTTTTTTTTTTTTTTTTTTTTTTTTTTGTCTGTTTATTTTTAGTACATGTTGAAGGGTTTTATTTTTGATTACATATATATTGAATACATGTATGTTCTTTTATGTGTATATACTTTTTTATATCTAGATCTAACTATGTCTGTCCGTCTTTCAGTTAATTAATAAATAATGAATGAATTTGAAAATTTCTTGAAACCACAAAAGATGCGAAAGGGAAATCGGAAGTAAAATTAGGTGTTGCATTTCTTGTAATTATTATTAAATTGTTCAATGAATGATTTAATAAAGCCAAAAGTATTTTTTAAATAAACAAATTAAATGAAGTTACATTTTTTGTTAAAATAGTCCAACCCCTACATAGCTTTCTGTATTGTAGCTCTTTAGGAACCAAAGACATGAAACAAAAAAGCACACGGCCAGGCAGATGGTTAAAATCCAGATGAAAAATGAAAAAGAATTTTATGAAAAATTTATACAATGAGTAAAATTAAAAATTTGTTGCGAATCAAATCGTTGAAAAAAGAAAACTGGTTTCAATTATATTTTCTAACTCAGATATTAGATTACAAGATTTGCAAGATTACAGTGAATTTGCAACGATTATGTTAACTTATTTTTAAAATTTTAATTTGTGAAAAAAAACAAATTGTTAAAATAATAATGTAGCATAATATTAAACAAAAGTTATTTTAAAAAGAACACAATTATTGCTAAAAATTTAATAAAAGAAGTATAAAAGTTAACTAGAGTAC